AATATATATGATAAATTATTTAAATAATGTATTATAGAAGATAATTTACAATATTTTATTAATAATAATAACAACTATTATTGTATAATTAATATAATAATTATATCATAATTATAAATACATATTAAAAAATTTATTATAAAATATATCTTTTATGATTTTATTATATGATATTTTATAAATATAATAATAATAATCTACATACAACTGTATATTAAACATCATCTAATGAACATTTTTGTTTCTGAGCAGACAAACAAATGCCTTATTGTGTCGGCAGAAAAGCCCAAAACCAAATTAATAATACAGAAAAAATACAGGAAAATACAAATCACAAGAAACAGATGAAATTTAATCGTAAAGTTCAGTTACATCCCGTGTCAACTGTGAGCAAACAAGCATCATATATTGAAAAGCTGCAGAGTTCAGTCACGTTATGCCATTCTTCACAGAAAACTAGCTGTTTAATATCACTGAAAGACACCGAATCATTTACAATTTACGTGAGATGCAAAAATCAGGACAAAAAGGCATTGAAATGTTTCACAGCGGCTGTACAAACACACAACACAAGAGTTTGGCAAAATGGATATGAAGCATCACGGGACGCTCAGACCGTCCCATTAATACAGAGACAACACAATGAATTCACAGGACGTGGTGTTTGATTACGAACACTAGTGATGCCACGATAAATCAACCAACACTTAACAGCAAACCACTGACAGCCTACTCAACGGATGAGCACGACTTCTGTCTGTGCAAAACATTTCAGTCTGTGGATACTGCAGTTAAACGATATAATGCAGGTAAACAGGTGCTAGTCATTAAAGCATGCATGCAGATATCTGCAGTCTGTAAAGGCTTGAATACTGGTGTAAGGGTATTAATACGACACACAACCGATGAAGCAGATGACTCTCACAGACATGCAAAACCGAACACTTTCCACCGATCAATAAAACAATAAAAAAAACGGAGATTTTTTCAGCTCAAAATTCTGATGCTTTTCTCTGTATTCCAAGTTCATTTCTCACGAGTCCAAACATTTCAGTCTGTGGATACTGCAGTTAAACGATATAATGCAGGTAAACAGGTGCTAGTTATTAAAGCATGCATGCAGATATCTGCAGTCTGTAAAGGCTTGAATACTGGTGTAAGGGTATTAATACGACACACAACCGATGAAGCAGATGACTCTCACAGACATGCAAAACCGAACACTTTCCACCGATCAATAAAACAATAAAAAAACGGAGATTTTTTCAGCTCAAAATTCTGATGCTTTTCTCTGTATTCCAAGTTCATTTCTCACGAGTCTGACTTTTTCAGAAATGATAATCATGCATTATATTTTGTGGAAAAGTAATGTTGTTGATGGTTTCTTTTTTGCCTTTCTCTGCACTGCATATAAACTGTATTTCTTATAGGGTTTGCGGTATTACATTTTGAACTGTGCAAATGCAAATGAAAAAAAAAAACTGTGACAAAAAGTCAGAAATGTGAGATAAAATCAGAATGGTTAGAAAATAAGTCAAAGGTGAGATTAAACAAAATCTGAATTGCGAGTCAGAAATGTGAGAGAAAAAAATCTAAATTGTGAGAAAAGTCAGAATTGAAAGATATAAACTTTTGAGATGAATGCAATTTAGATTTTTAAAAATGTAATTACATTTAAATTTTGATTTAAAAATGTCATAAATGTGAGATGAAAAAATCTGAACTGTGACCAAAAGTCAGAAATGTGACAAAAAAATCTGAAATGTGAGATAAAATCAGAATTGTTAGAAAATAAGTCAAAGGAAAGATTAAACAAAATCTGAATGGTCAGAAATGTGAGAGAAAAAAAAAATCTAAATTGTGAGAAAAGTCAGAATTGAAAGATATCAAATTTTGAGATGAATGCAATTTAGATTTTTTTTTAAATGTAATTAATTTAAATTTAAATTTAAAAATGTCATAAATGTGAGACGAAAAAATCTGAACTGTGACAACAAGTCAAATGTGAGACAAAAAAAAATTGCAAGGAAAAAGTCCGAAATGTGAGAAAATAAGTCTGAAATGTGACCTTTCTTATTTTGATGAGCTCGTTTCCTACAAGGAATAAAAAAAATAAATAAATAAAGGCAATAGTGACTATATCTCACATTTTTTCTCGCAATTCAGATTTTTTAAATCTCATATCTCTGACTTTTTTCCTTGCATTTGCAAGTTTATGTCTCGCAATTATCAGTCATAAACCTGCGGTAAGATTTTTCTTCTCAGAATAGTATGAATCTCCTACTTCAAAAACACTAACAAAACAAGTCAGAGTTGTGAGATTAAAAGGTCGTAATTACTTTCATTCATATTCGGTGGCTGAAACGAGCTTTCATCAGAAATGCTTCGCTCTGGTGAGAACACTGAAAACAAACACATTAATCATCCTGCGCTTCAACTACATCGTCATCAGACTCTGAAAGAGCTTTCGCTGAGATTGCAAGGATGCATTCAATTGATCAGAAGTGACAGTGAAGACATTAATAAAGAAAACAGTTTCCACAAAAACATTGCGCAGCTGTTTTCAACATTGATAATAATCAGAAATGTTTCTCGAGCATTAAATCCGCATATTAGAATGATTTCTGAAGGATCGTGGACTTTTTCAGCTTTGAACATATACTGTATATTATTTGAAACCGTGATATTATTTCGCATGCATTTTGTGTTTTTGATCAAATAAATGCAGCCTTGGTGAGCAGAAAACATTCAAAAATCTTACAGACCTCAAACTTTACATTTACATCACACACACACAAAAATAAAAAAAAACATGCACCAGCAAAATGCACAAAATGAATGCGTTTTAAGAGGTAAAAATTCTGATTTCATGTTGACTTTAAAATACATGATCGTTTGTAGACGCATTATGATTTGTGAGCCTGGAGCACAAAAGCAGGCTTAAGTCGCTGGGGTATATTTGTAGCAATAGCCAACAATACATTGTATGGGTCAAAATTATACATTTCTCTTTTATGCCAAAAATCATTAGGATATTACGTAAAGATCATGTTCCATGAAGATATTTTGTAAGTTTCCTACCATAAATATATCAAAACAAAATTTTGGATTAGTAATATGCATTGCTAAGAACTTAATTTGGACAACTTTAAAGATGATTTTCTTTATTTTGATTTTTTTTTGCACCCTCAGATTCCAGATTTTCAAATAGTTGTATCTCAAAATATTGTCCGATCCTAACAAACCATACATCAATGGAGAGCTCATTTATTCAGCTTTCAGATGATGCATAAATCTCAATTTCGAAAAATTGACCCTTATGACTGCTTTTGTGCTCCAGGGTCACATATGATAACATAATCTGAAAAATCGTCTGCATACAGTAAAATACACCGTTGAAAACATCTGTGACATAGATTACAGCACTGTTACGAGTCACGCATGCGACTGAAAACACCATGACGCACAGCACTGCTTGGGATCTCACCTGGTTAACCAGTCTCTGAAGTTCAACAGGTGAAGTCAGCTGACTAACTAAACACAGTATTGCCTTTTCAAAGAGCCTTGCGCTCTGACCAGACCTGAGCCAATCTCACCCTTCATAATCATTCATCTGATGCTCCCTCCGTTCACAGGAGCCACACGTGTGCAAATCCTTTCAGAGTCAGGCTTATTTCTCCACGCCGTTGATGCTTGTGTTATTTACAGAGTCCCTCCGTTTCCTGGCAGAAGAGGAAGTCGTGCTGTCCGTCTCAAACTCCCCTACAGCACAAATGCATTACAATGTGGCAGAAAACACTGGCGCACATGTTTGAGTTGCATAATGCATGCATGCTAACAAAGATCTATAGGCCAAAATAACTGGACTGGACATGTTCCCAAATGCATAATGATAGTTTACAGTTTCTGCAGGATACTGTGCATAGCATGCAAACATATTATATGCATTGACTAAAATATACATTAACTATACTATATTTATATTATAGTAAATATACATTACCTGATATAAAATATATTAAATAAAATTTGAACTTATTTTATTTCAGCTAATTGCTAAAGCAAAAACAAACAAATAAATATATTTAAAAAAAATACTAAAACTTTAACTAAAATGAAAATGGAAGATACAAAAATTAAAAATTCGATATATTAAAAAAAATCTAATAAAAATGACAAAATTACTAAAAGCTTTAAAATTAATGAAAGATGGAAGATATAAAAAAAAAACTAATTCAAAATATTTAAAAACAATATCTAATAAAAATGACAAAAAACAACAAAATTACTAAAACTGTCAAATTAAACTAAAAAATGGAAAATACGAAAATAAAAAATGATATCTAATAACAATTAAAATGTTTAATTCTGTCGAATTAAAATGAAAAATGCAAAAATAAAAACCATTTCAAAATATAAAAAATATCTAATAAAAATGACAAAAAACAACAAAATTACTAAATCTTTAAAATGAAAAATACAAAAATAAAAACGAATTAAAAATATTATAAAAATATATCCAATAAAAATGACAAAAAACAACAAAAGTACTAAAACTGTCAAATTAAACTACAAAATGGAAAATACAAAAATAAAAAAAAATATCTAATAAAAATTTTAATTTTAATTCTGTCGAATTAAAATGAAAAATACGAAAATAAAAACCATTTCAAAATATTTAAAAATCATAATAAAACTACCTGGATGACCTTGATCTTCCATTTCAATTAATAATAGAATGCGAATACAGTACATACAGTGTGCAGTAAGCAGTAGTCTAGAATTAAAAACAGCTTCCGTCTGTCTTCTGCTAGTTCACCACAAGAGGTCATAACACTACAGCTTAGATTCATTACCCTAATGAACCATTAATAACCAACACATGATGTCTCTTTACCTCTGCATTCAGACACAGCGTCGTCCGGCTCCGTGTAAATACTGTCCTCACACTCCGAGAAGCTCTAGAGAGTCAAAATATCACATGATTTACAGCTCAAAACCCTTAAGACTGAACACTGTGTGGATACTGTAAACATCACTTTGATATTTTCAGTCTCAACTATACCAACTCAGGATCTCGGTTGCTGAATAAATGCAGTTGTTTTAATAGAGAAACATTATTGCAATCTGGAATTAGGAATTTCACTGTTATATTTTTTTCAGTTTTCATAATGTAGACAGAGAGAGTGTATATGCAAGTCTTTGATATTAATTTATATGATAAATAGCCTATAATAAGTCAATAAACTAGAAGGGGGAAAATAAACCATGTGCATGAGTTCTATTGACATGACATTCTGTTGATTTGTGCTTATTGGTGAAAGTGCAATACTTCTAATGCAGTGTAAAAATACATTTCTGAAATGACAACAATCATTAAAGTTGACTTGAGAAAGCCAGCTTACTGATCTACCATTTAATCATCTTCTTCTTCTGAGCCAAAATTTTAACTGCATCTCCTCCTAGACCTTTAAAGCTACAACCACCAAACTCGGGTCAGACCTTCAGACTGGTCTGAAGTTATTTGCTCTGACTTTTCTAACTGTTCCGACTTCCGGTTTTCGTAAACCAGACTATCAAATCCACCGGAAATCCCATAGACTTTCATTGAGGGGGTGAAAACTTTTGTACAATGAGACTTATATGGTGTTTTAAGCTGTCTATTGCTATAGTAAAGCTTAACAACTCCCTACTGAAAAAAACTGCTAAAACCAGCCTAAGCTGGTGGGATGCTTTGGCTGGTCTCCCAAGCTGGTTTTAAAGTGGTTTTGGCACCTTTTGAGCTGGTCAGCCTGGTCTTAGCTGGTCAAGCTGGGAGATCTGCTAAAAGAACAACCAAGTTTAAACCAGCTACTTTCAGCTTAAACCAGCTAAGACCAGACAACTAGCCTAAGCCGGTTTTAGCTGGTTTTATCAGCTGGCTTTTTGCGAAATCAGCTGGATTTAGCTGGTTTAAACTGGTTTTAGCTAGCCTTTTTGCTAAATCAGCTGGTTTTAAGAAATATATTACTAATTCAGCAGATTTTACTTGGTTTTACCTGGATTTTTTTCATTCATGTTACCAATTTGTTAAATCACGTTAAAACATGCTAGCAACAAGCTAGCAGCATGCTAATCATACTAGAAACTTGCTAGCAACATGCTAGTAACTTGCTAATAATGCTAACAACATGCTAGTAACATGCTAACCATAACAGAATCATGCTAGTAACGTGCTAATCATGCTAACAACATGCTAGTAACATACCAATCATGTTAGCAACATGCTAGTTACTTGATAATCATGCTAGAAACATGATAGTAACTTGCTGATTATGCTAGAAACATGCTAACAACATGTTAGTAACTTGCTAATCATGTTAACAACATGCTAGTAAAATGCTAATAATGCTAGAAGCATGCTAGTAACTTGCTAATAATGCTAACAACATGCTAGTAAAATGCTAATCATGCTAGTAACTTGCTAATCATGCTAACAACATGCTAGTAACATGCTAATCATGCTAGTAACACGCTAACCATGCTAGAAACATGCTAGTAACATGCTAGTAAAATGATAACCATGCTAGAAACATGCTAGTAACTTGCTAATCATGCTAACAACATTCAGACTTTAATCTTTCAAACTATTTTAAACTGAAAACCGTCAAACTTTTACAACTTTTTAAAAACTTTTAAACTTTTAACATTTTCTGGCCTGGCTTTCTCAAGCCAACTTCAAAGTTTGTCTACAAACTTTACTATCTAGTTGCAATTATAATTTTGAGCAAAATAATCAGTTTAACCATTATACAGCATGACGAAAAACTTTTGATCGACTAAAACGCTCAGACATTTAGTCGACTAAGACTTGACCAAAACAGGACAATATGATAATAACTAAAAAGCACATTTGACACAGGACTAAGACTAATTAAAAAATTGGCTGACGAAATGAAGGGATCAGGAAGAGGAGTGATTGAGTAAATGACGACGCACCTTCTCTCGGGGCCCGTAGTTCTCAGCGTACCACACCATCCCATACAGACACAGGAACGTGATGAAAGCCTTCAGAGACAAAGACACATCAACTCCACACGAAAACAACTATTTAGAGACAATCTCCTCCCACAGCTGCCAAGAAAAGCTCTGTAGTGCTGAATGAGTGCAAATCAAACAATTGCAGTGATGCAACGTACAGCTGAGAGTAGGGCTGCTCGATTATGGTTAAAAAGGTTGCTATGACATCTACATTTTAGAGACATTTAGAGATTTAGAGAAATTTCACAATTCTCAACACCACAGCAGAATACTAGGGTAACTAATATTAGTAAAAAAACAAAAAATAAAGTCCTCAAATTATTGAAAATAATTAAAAGTTCAGTAATAAAAAAAAAAAAAGCAAAGGACAAATACAATAGAAAAAAAGACACAAATGAAACAAACAGTGCTTTAAGTTTTTTATGCAAGTCTAAAGTATTTAGCTAACAGCTACTACAGAAACGGAATAATTGAATGCAAAATAAAACTTCCTTTGTTTCTTATTAAAGCTACAAAAGTCCTTCAGTCGAGAGCAGAGAGTGATTTTCTCTGTCTTTTGTTGTTTGATTAATATGAAGCACACAGTCAGCAGCAGAAATAGCCTGCTGTCACTTTAAGAGCCACATGGATCCAATTTACTGTTACACACGTTTTTTCATTCTCAACTGTTTACGTTCACTTATTACATAACCGATGAGGGTTTATGTGATTAATAATCACCAAGTGCCACATTTGACACATTTTTGCGTGTATTTGACCATTTAGGCGCGCACCTTAAGCTAAAAGTTGACTTTACATGTCCGTGTTCTGTTCCGTCGCACGCACAGAAATCCTCCTGAGCAACAGCGATAGTTCTCTTTCGTGCTTTTAAAAACATGAATAAATCTAATCAGCTTTAATAAATCAAGCACGTCCCATTTTGTGAAAGTCACGCAAAATGATTTTACTGATTTACACGTGAAATTGGGCTTTTATGGAGGAGCGAAAGCGTACCGCTGGAAAGGCGTGCAATAATCGTTTTATCCCGATTATTGTATTTTCATAATCGCTGGAGGCCGAAATCAAAATCGAAACTGTATTTCGATGAATTGCACAGCTCTATCTGTAAGTGAAGAAAAACCACAGGAACTCACCAAACACACGAGCCACAAAATCACATAGAGAACCTGCGTCTTGGAAAACAAGTCCTGTCCAAATTTAATGCAGGCCAGCGCCTCCAGGAAAGCGATCGCCCTGCAGGACAGAAAACAGAGTTTGGCATCATTTTGGAAAACACTGACAGTGCCATATTTTGTTTTCTGCGACATATATTGCATTGAAATTTCACCAGATGACTGGAATAGCTTTAGAATAAATCGTTCCAGAGTTAGTGGTGTGAATTTGTCGCAGAGTGCATCTGCATTAAAAAAATAATAATTTTAAAAAGGCTGAGAAATTACTTTCTAATCTGATTTTTATTTTTTTTTATTTTTTTTTAAGGTGAAATCTTTCAGGGCTTCACATGATTATAAAATAATAAAATACTATAAAATAATAATAAACATCATGATTTTATTGTGATTATTATGAAACAAAAATATTAAGCAAAAACTAAATATATTGTAGAAATATTGTAAAATAAAAAGAGCAATAAAAATAAATTTATTTTACTGTTAAAAAAATTAGATTTCTTCATTTTTAAACTCTAAACCATCAAGCTTTTATTTTGACAGGTTTCAGAGTGAAACCAGTAGTGCATAAATGTATTAAATTAAATCACACTGTGCAATATCAATTTAATTTCAATATATTGCACGACCCTTTCTACTGAACATTAATTGTGCAACATAAAGCCAAAGGAAGTTAGATGACAAAAAGCTTTTGTAACATCATACACTCTACCATTCAAAAGCTTGGAGTCACTATCATTTTTTTTTTTGGAAATAATTTATAGAAATTATTACTTTTATTTAGCAAGGATGCTTTAAATTGATCAAACGTGATGATAAAGATGTTTATAATGTTTCAAAAGATTTCTATTTCAGATAAATGCTGATCTTTGGATCTTTCCATACATCAAAGAATCCTGAAAAAATTATACTCAACTGTTTTAAATATTGATAATAATAATAATAATAATAAATGTTTTTTGAGCAGCAAATCAGCATATTAGAATGATTTCTGAAGATCATGTGACACTGAAGACTGGAGTAATGATGCTGAAAATACAGCTGTGCATCACAGAAATACATTATATTTTAAAATATATTCAAATAGAAAGCAGTTATTTTAAATAGTAAAAATATTTCACAATATTACTGCTTTCGCTGTATTTCGAATCAAATAAATGCAGGTTTGGTGAGCAGAAGAGACTTCTTTAAAAAAACATTAAAAATCTTACTGTTCAAAAACTTTTGACTGGTAGTGTATATATATATAATATATTTAATACACAAATTTTTAAAGGGGTCCTATTATGCTTTTTCACTTTTTTAATTTTAGTCAGTGTGTAGTGTGTATGTTTGGGCATAAAAAAGATCTAGAAAGTTACAAATCTCAAAGTCC